TGGATGCACAAATTATTCATATATTTTTTAGTTTTACATATAATATAGGTCTGCATATTTATTCTCCTAATTTGTTTTTCTTTTATAAATAAATATTTAAAATTAGATCTCCAATCTGTTATCTAAATTAAAATTCAAAACACATGTGAATAAAATATATTTCATAATGAAACATGATATCATCTATTTTTTGACTTAATAAATACAAATAATAAACACTTTGGGATTTTTCACTACCTCCGGTTTGAAATTTACAAAAACAAACCACGGTCATCCTTCTTACGTTATGCCGTAAAATATATTTCATAATGAAACATGATATCATTGTATTAAATTTTAGTGCAATTCAAAGTATACAGAGAATAAAAAGGGAAATGTGAAACCTCAATTCTATTTTAGCAGTATGCGTGAGCCAATGCACAAAGGCAAAAACTGACGATTGCCCAACAAAGTAAACGCCAGCCTCTCGGAGAGAAGAGAAGACACAAAAGTATTAAAAAGGTTGACCCAGTGCCATTTTCGTAATTAACATTAAACTACATGATCAATTCGGTATCCTTCGTATAAATCACGCGAAGGGTTTCCTTTTCCCTTCACTTTGCCCAATAAAACCGGAAATGACAGCTCTCCATATTCTAATATAGCATTTGGCAGCAAGAGAGAAAGGCGAATCCTCAAGGAATCCAAATTTCTCTATTTTTCTCCATTTCTTCTCCACGGCAATGGCTTCACTCTCTGATTCTTCCAAACAATCCCTTCTTCCTAGTTTCCTTTACTCTTCTCCTAACTCTTTCGCCCTCGATCGGCTCATCAATGCCAACAACCATGCCTTCGGCGATTCGCGTTCCACTACACTCGAATCTCCCGCCGCATCATCCTCACCGTCGGTCACGTCGAGGACGTTTATGATCCCCGCGCCCAATGAGCCTGGGAAGAGGATCGAGATGTACTCGCCTCAATTCTATGCTGCTTGTACTTTTGGCGGTATCCTAAGCTGTGGTCTCACTCACACGGCGGTTACTCCTCTTGACCTCGTCAAGTGTAATATGCAGGTATATATTTGTAGATCTGGATCTCTTCTGTTTACCTTCTTTTGAACTTTGTAGTTTATTGTAAGATTAGATCTGTGCTAAGCTTGTTGCTCACTTGAGAATTCTGATTGGTGATTGTTGCTTGTCGGATCTGTGCCTGGTTTCTTTTACTGCTTCAGTTCGATTTTGACGCCTTTGGTTTTACTGCTTGATTTCTGGATATGAGGAACTTTATAGGAGTATCATTTTAATTTCACTCCGGGTTTTAATGTTCTGTCCAAGTCTCTAGGTCTTGATCTCGTAATAGATAGTTCTATTTGCTTTTATTCTGTGCATAATGTCATTTACTAGAATTTAATTGTATTTTATTGCATTCTCTGTTCATCTAGTAATTGTATTGTGGAAGGATGTCCTGATCCTAAGTTGGGAAGTTATATGAATCAAGGTCATTAGTACAGTACAACCCCCCCCCCCAATTCCATTCTCGAGGGAAACGAATTCATTTAATGCCTTCCAATCTTCCTATTTTAACTCTTCTAAGAAATCATATAAAGACAATTCTTATTTGTGCAATAGATTATAGATAGCTATTTGTGCTAGTATTAATCACCATAACCATAAGTTATCCCATTCCTTGAATTACTGCATTTATTTGAGTGATCCACAAACAATAAAAATTGCTTTTTCTCTTGTCTCTGCTTTGATGAGCCGAAGCCGAAGCTCTTATCCATTGTTGGGTAATAGTTCAAGTAAATCTCGAACTAGCTTGTCTCTATATTTTAAAATTATTATTATTATTATATATGCTAATTTCTAACTTCTTATTTCTTAATAAATATATTAATATCCACACATATTTACAAACTTAAAATTTAAATATATATTGTGTATATATGGTCAATTACATATGTAAAAATATGTTTAATTGTTTATATACTAAATAATTTTAAAAATACTAATTAGGTTAAATAATTTAATTTAAAGAGCATATTTTATTTTTTAATGGTAATTATAAAAATAATAATGGGTTAAGAAAAAAATATTAAAATTTGGTCTAAAATTTTAAAATTTTGTACCAATCTGTAGGAGCCTGTACACACCAATACAGGTCGGTATGGCCGGTACCTAATTATTTGGTACCAATTTAGTGCTGGAACAGTATGTATTGGCTGGTATCCATACACTGTCAATCAACATGATATGAATACTTGTGTTATTTGTTGCAGTTTATCTGTTATCATTTTTCATTTAATGGTTTGTATTTGATCAATGATACAATAATCTTATAATATTACAATGCATCTTACATTATGGATTTGTTTTTCTGTTAGCTATCTGATATTTTAACACAGTGGATGATCTAAAGTGACATCTGGATTGTTGTTTCGACAGATTGACCCCGCAAATACAAGAGCATCTCATCTGGTTTTGGAGTCCTGCTGAAAGAGCAAGGATTTAGGGGCTTCTTCCGTGGTTGGGTTCCTACTCTTCTTGGTTATAGTGCTCAGGGTGCTGGCAAGTTTGGATTCTATGAGTTTTTCAAGAAGTACTATTCTGACCTTGCTGGACCTGAATACTTTGCCAAGTACAAGACCCTAATCTATCTAGCCGGTTCTGCATCTGCTGAGGTGATTGCAGATGTTGCGCTCTGCCCCTTCGAGGCAGTCAAGGTCAGGGTTCAAACCCAACCAGGTTTTGCTAGGGGTATGTCAGACGGATTTCCCAAGCTCATCAGATCTGAAGGTGCTTCTGGGTAAGCTTCTTGGCATTGCTAAATGTACTGTGTAAGTAGTACCGGGAAATGTCTGTTTGATTGAGTTCTGAACTCTTTTCTTTTCAGATTGTACAAGGGTCTTGTTCCTCTTTGGGGCCGTCAGATTCCATGTAAGTTTGGCGTGTACATTTTTCATGGACAATTACTACCTTTAACACTTCCCTTCATTTCTTATTTTATTTTTTCTTTTTATCTTTTTAACGCACCTTTTTGGTGGTTGCTTTAGAATTTGCTAACTAGAACAAAGTGTACGGTTAATTAGACATTCCTCATTTCTTTCAGATACCATGATGAAGTTTGCTTCTTTTGAAACCATTGTTGAAATGATATATAAGTATGGTATTCCCACACCAAAGGACCAATGCAGCAAATCTTTGCAGCTTGGTGTTAGTTTTGCTGGTGGTTACATTGCTGGTGTGTTCTGTGCTATCGTTTCTCATCCTGCTGACAACCTTGTCTCTTTCCTTAACAATGCCAAAGGGGCAACTGTTGGTGATGTAAGTTCTGAAAACCCTGTATGATTATTTTGAGCTTTAATAATTTCAGTTTTGAATAACTTTTACTATGTCTGTTGTCTTTTGATTATGCAGGCTGTGAAGAAGCTTGGTTTGTGGGGTCTATTTACCCGTGGGCTTCCCCTCCGTATTGTGATGATTGGAACACTAACCGGAGCTCAGTGGGGTATCTATGATGCTTTCAAAGTGTTTGTGGGACTGTAAGTCATTCCGATCATGACTATAAATCATCGTATCGTTTTTCAGGTGATTAGAGTGAATGCTTATGGAATTTCTTGTAATCTTTCAGGCCAACCACTGGTGGTGTTGCTCCAGCTGCTGGTACACAGCCTGCAAAGGCATAATAGAATATTGGTGGAAGGTCAACTAAATATTATTATAATAGGCATGCAAAACCTTTTCATAGGGATAAATAAAAATAATAAAACAGACTGCTGAAAATTGCTTGAATGAGTCTCAAGCAGGTGGAAAATATTCTTTTTGCATTCGGAACTTTTATCAGTTCTTTTTAGTTTTGACTGGTGTTGGAGGGTGGTTTTGGTTCCATCCTAACTTATTGAGAGTATTTTTATTGTAGTTAGATCATGTGTCATGAAATTTCTTTTGAAGATCAACACCCCCTGTAGCATTCACCAAAACTATTGAGCTGTCTGAGATTGGGGCTATACTTCTGATATGCCTTATTAAGCAGGCGTCAAAATGTGCATTCAATACAATGTAGCTCCTTTTATATAGTGTTTGTTGGGTCAGGGGAAAGAAATTCAATTTCCTTTAATTAAGGTCTTTAGTTCTGAGTATTTGATTGTTGTTGATAGGGGAAAAATTGTAATGAAAGCCTCGTCTCTTGTTCAAAAGGTCTAATTCAGTTCGATCTTGAATATAATAAGGTTTGTGTGATTATTACGAAATTTTATACATGGTATCTTTGTTAATAACGAGCAATAATCGAATTACTGCCTATTTTGTGGGCTTTAAGCCCAGTCGAACTCATCTTGTGCACCATTGCTATTTGGCGCGTAAGCTGAATTTTAGACAAGGTTAACGGATCTAATTTGTTCAAGTTAAAAAGTGACGTTAGGCGAACGCTTATTAAGCACGGTAAGAACGCTTATTTGGCGTGTAATTTATTTTAGTTTTATACATATTTAGTTTTGTTAGATAAGTAAAAAAATACGGTTGAAGTTAATAGTAAAAATTGAGAAAATATTCATCGGAAAAAAATAATGAGTTAATTTCAATTATCTATTTTTACTTGTCAAACAATTTTAAATCTATATAGAACTAGAATAGTTTTATATTAGTTAAGTGAATTATAATATATATATATTTGGCTTATTTCGATTCTCGTGTATATATAACAACAGGTCAAGGTGTAAACAAAAGTGTAAATATGTAAAAAAAAAATCTGCGATTCGTTCAATTAAACCCTAAAGCTCCATATGAAGAATATTTTGATGGGTTTGTAAATATTTTTTAAAAAGCTGCAACTAATTAAGAACATTAGTAATAATATTCATGTAAAAAATACTAATAAATTGTCAGTTTAAATAACACTCTAGATAGGATGCCAGCATCTACTTTCACTTGACATTTATTTTAGTTTATTTTATTTCTTTTACATTGCACATTACTATCACTGTAACTGCCGAGATTCGATGCAAAAAAGTGTGACAGTTGAAAAACACCAAAATAAGTGACAAAGTTGGCCCCGTCCTTTGAGATTTCATGATGACTGGGTTTTGCTTAACAAAATATTATAACGGTATCCATGGTGATTAAAGTTGATAAAACTCATCAAGGGACAAGTTTTCAACGGAGCCTAAGCTTTCCAGAGGTCCCATCCTTGAATAGTTGGTCATGGATCCACCGAGAAAATCGAGTGGGCAGTCATTTGAGAAGGTCAAGGTGGTGTCATAGATAAATGACATCCCACTATCCTCCATCGTAGGATAATAATAGCAACTTGATTTACCCACCTCATAATCATGGAGGAACGGGTCATTCACCCCATTTCTAGCTATGTCACTATATACATCTTCGTCCGATGCCTTCTTCGCCTGGATCACCTGAAACACGTTTATTTCGACCCAAATTAATGAAAGGTTTTTGAGCAATCCTAGAAACCAGATAATTAGTAGATCATACGTAGTTATGATTTTGACTATCTTGAAACACCATGATGAAATCCCCGAGTTGTAATCCGTGTGTGCTAACAAATTCCCCTGAGAAATTTAATGCAATAATGATGAATCATGTTGTCACACAGTCAACGTGCTTTTTTTGTCGATTCTACAAACAGAAAAGGAATTACGAAGGCGGGTCGGTATTTACCAGTATTTTCAAGCACATACATGCGGCTGTTGTTGTTAGGCCAAAACCTGCATACAAAGATGGAAACAAAAATGGATTTATCATACTATTCAAGTACAAAAATGGTTACCAATCTTATGTTGGATATTCATAACACACGCACGCAAGCACATACACACATATCCAACTGAAATTCCATTTTATCCTTATAAGATGAATTCTGTGGTCAAAGTTTTCTTGCAAGACAAGGAAGAGAGTGAGCAGAGGAGAACTTGCCTATACTTGAAGCTCCAAACATGCAGACCATCTAGGTCGTCCATGCTGATAAGAATCCCTTCCTTGGACTCAAGGACAGGTAAGTGAGCCTCAGCCGCTCGCTGAAAAGATGAGCTTATTATATATTTATTCAGACTATTCCCATGAAAGAGCAAAGTTGCATCAAATGAATTAAACTCGAGAGGTAATGTTGAAACCTTGGGAAGTATCATTCTTCTGAGGGAGCTTACGTCGCTGTTCTTAAGTTCCTTCTGGAAAAGGAATCTCAATCTCTTAGGATCAATAACCTAATAAAACATTAATAATATTTAGTTCTTCTCAGAATGATTACTAAAATAGAGTATTGAACCACTGATTATATCTATAAAGAGACGAAGAAGGCTGCATAACAAATTCCATCATACAAAACAAAGATTGAAAAAACAAAAAGCTGTGTCGGAATACCAGAAAATGTCTTGGAAAGTACGGACTCATTTGCCAAATTTGGGGAAATGAAATAGTACAGGTTCGTAGTCAACTAAATTTAGGAAAATGGTTGTTACCCTCACCTATATATATAATGTATGCGTATTGATATTTATGAAAAATAATTCAGAAAAATTCAATCAGATATAAACAAAAAAAAGATTCGTGTAGCAGTGGATTATCATATGGAAAATAACGTAGAATCTTACAACACAATGATTTTGATTTCGTTCTCTATGAAATTGGGATGATCAAAATATGAAAATATCCATCATTGTATATTTGGGAGAAAATAATTGCATAAAAATTTAATTAAGCAACTCCTGGTCTGATGTTCAATATCAAAACATATTTAGATAGAACTAAAATTAAGATAAAAACATGGAGTAGTCAGAGTTGTTAGAAAAAAGAGAAGAGTACGAGTGTCCGTACAAGTAGGCCAGGCAAAAGAAGAAAGATTGAAACTTTGAATAGAGATAGAACGAGAGAGATAACTCACACGTGTGGGGGGAGTGGGGGGAGGCACGTGCGAGCAGCTACCAGAGGAGGAGTTAGTAAAAGGTAGAAGTTTGATGGTGGAAGATGATCTCCTCTGTCTAGCCATCCTTTTCTTCCTGTTAACACCAAAGCTTGGAACAGAAGCGACAATGTCACGGGTCAACCCGGATCGACCCGATGGTCGATGGGTGTTGTCCCCTTCCCCAGTGACAAAGGCCTCGTTTTTCTCAAGAACACTAGGAGTCGTAGCTGCTGCCATCATTAGCTCAATTGGCTGAAAAACCAAAAATAAAGCCTTTAGATTTCTGCGTGTAAGAGAGAGAAAGAGAGACACTGTTTATCTCTGAGAAACTACCCGATGATGGACGCTCGGCAATCACGAAATGGAGGGCTTTAGGTTAAAGAGAAAGGCAAGGTATATTGTTTTATGAATTTTTTTGCTATTTTTAGCAAGGTTATGGTGAAGTACATTGACATTTGTTTATCTCACTTCATGCCTTGCTTTTGAGATCTTTTGTTCACAGTCCGAAACCCCATATGGGGGTAAAACGTTGATGATGGGTTAAACCTGGGTCTCAGACCTTGAGTTTGGTAACAATCCCTCCAACTAAAAAACAAAGCTGGGTTTAGGGTTCTGAGGACAAATGTGCAATGTGATTCCTGGTTGGTGTAAAACCTCCGATACAACCAAAAGGGAAAGTAACCATAGTTGAGGGTTGAAGCTGAGTTAATGTTGAGAAATGTGAAGGTGTTGGGAGGATAGGGATGGTTAGGGCACCCCCAAGGATTCGTTGACGAGTGGAAGGTCATCACCTTCCAAGTGTTGCGAAAGTTCTGCAATTTTTTCTTCTTTTGCTTGTAACAGAAATCAATGGCGTTGGGGTTTATTGGGATGAATTTGAAACCAGGGAAAGATTTAAATTAACTAAGCTTTTTCTCCTGCATTTCCATGGCAGTGGAAGATGGAGATATGAATTCCTTTTTTTATACGGTTGGATTTAAAGATTAAGGAATTGGAATGAGTAAATTTGATGGCTTTGAGCAAAGAATATTGGTGGGGGTTTTGGTTAGTGAAGAAGAGGCAACAGGTGGGCATGGATTGCCACGTTGCCGCCATGCAAAAGGACGATGGTTTTTGAAATAGAGATGGAAATGGGTTGCAGTAAATGGTATTATTATTTGACCAATGTAATTCCCTTCGCCTTTACGATATTCCAATGGGTTTGGTTTCAGTTTGGTTGGTGCTGTTTTTTCTTTTTACTGACTCATTCAGTAACACTGATATTTTAGTTTTTAACCCATCCAACCACAACCATTTCTTTTCCCACTCCAACCATCACCCCTCAATAATGCCTAATTTAAAAATTATATTTGTGATAGAATTAATTAACTTATTATTTTTTTAATCACTTAAATCATTGATTCAGCATAATTAATATCGTAAGAATTAAATTGATAATTAAATCAGTAATTATTATTTTATTTAATTAGTTGCAACAACAATTAAATTAAATAATAAAAAATAATATAATTATAAAATTATGAATATAAATAATTATTTTTTATTAATCTGGGGTGAAAACAATGGGTAGTATATGTTCGAAACACTCAATCATTCGACGATAAACGTTCATACATTCTTGTAGACTTTGTACTTGAACTCCAAGACCTTAAGGAAAATAATAATCCTTTAACCTCTAGGTCACTTGATTATTACAAAGAATGACATTTTTTTAATAGAAGTAACCAGTTTTAATAAAAATAAAAATATTCAAATTACAATGAAAGTTTATAGCTATATTTGTAAATTAAACACATAATAAAGACATTTTCCTATAAACATTAACACAAGACAATTAGTTACTTAAGTTCGCAAAATATCATACAAAGAAAATATTAAAAACATAATCAAATAAGCTTGAACAAAAGGTATGTGCGAATAGCGAACAACAAAAGAAGATCAAGCTATTGAAAAATTACCGAGAAATTGCAAATCAGAGTCGAGCGACGTGAAAAAATTATCTACGAACACAAACCATGTATATAAATCCAATGCAAGGGTCCAAAGCAGAGAATATTAACATAATAACAAATAATAGTCATCTTGATCGGTTGTGATGATGTCAAATCCAACCATGAGAAAAAAATAAAAAAAAAAACAATTAAATGACGAAAACATGCCATAAACAAAGATAAAAGTGTACTATAAAGACAGAATTAAAAAAATAAAAAGATTAAAGATACATACCATAATAAAAAAAAGATTTCATTAATATTGTTATTTGTGAATTATGTATATCTTTTATCTATCTCTTTAACGATTTAAATACAACTTAATCTTATTAAATCATAGAGTTATAAAAATAATATTAATACATATTATAAAAAATAAAGTAAAAGAAAAAATGTTAAAGAAAATAAATAGTTTATTACAACGTTTTAATAATATTCTATTAACTAATTTATGTAAAATATTAATAAAAAAATATATTTTACAATTTTTACCTTTCTTTGCCTGAATCTAAATAAATAAAAATGATGAATTTTATATAATCAATCTTAATTAAGTAATATTCTTATTAATCTAATATTCATAACTTAAGACATGTTTAAGCGATATCACCCCGTGGTGTCTTTAAAAACAAAAATTGACTAAATATTTAAAGAATTAATTGTATCACAAAATATAATCTTCATTAAAAATGGTCTTAAGTTTTTAATATTTTAATTTCATCTTCAAACTATAACTTTCATTTGAAGTGGATGCCTAGATCTTTGAATATTCAATTTTATCCCATATTGTTGTAAATGTTATCCAATAGCATAACACATTTGGAAGGTTGCTGCCTCTTCGAACCGGAGATTTTTTAGAATATCTTCATCTCTACTGGTTTTTAATCCAAGATCTCCATCTCTTATTTGTACCAGTAGCTATATCTCTCCTTGTGATAAATACTTTATCATTTGAAGGGATAAAAATTAAAATGTGTTAGTAGAAAGATTAAATTGGTGTAATTTAGATGCCGGAGGTTAAATTCTTAAAATTAAGATTAAATTATAATAAAATATAAAGGTTAAGCGTTAGATTTTTATTATATTAATCTTACTAATGATCATCCCCTAGTTTTTTAATGAAGAATGATCAACTTGTTTTTTTTTTTTCAAAATCCAGTGACCATTTTATAAATTTTATTAATTGGAATACTCAATAAAAAATGCCGGGGATTATTTACCATTTTACCCTAATAAATATAGTTGTTGAACAAAAATAAATAACTAAAATATGGTAAATTACACTAATGGTCATTTAACTATGGAGGGATTTCATTCTGACCATCGATCTTTAAATTTGTTAACTAGGTCACTTAACTATTCAAATGATGTCAATCAAATCATCTATCGTTAAAATTTTATGGAAGAGATGACGTATACGTTAACAAAATTTGTATAATTATGTACTTTTATCATTGATAGATGTACAAGTATTAAGAACTAATGGTTAATTATATTGATTTGTTAATTGTCACATCAGCTACTCCGTCAAATATATTGACAAGTGATTTAATTGACATCAATTAAATAATTTAATAGTCAAATGGGCAAAGTTAAAAGATTAATGATCAAATTAAAATCTTCATAATTGAAGGATCACTTGGTAGTTTACCCTATAAACTAAATTCCACGAGAGAATAAAAACCCTAGAATTACGAGTTTTGCAATTGCACTACACCCTCAAAAGAGGGCTACTCTTCCCGTAAACCCTACCCAAAAAATCCCAGCTTCGAATCCAATGGACGAAACCAAGAGTCCTAACGAACCTGCATTGCCCGTTAAACGCAAACCCCGACCTCACCTCCCAATATGACGATCCAAAACGAAACCACCCCCATAAATCCCCAAACTCCAAACCCAAGATGAAATCATCCAACCAAGTGAACAAGATCACGCATTCCACCCTTCTGGAAACAACGATTCCTCTATTTCTGATCCCGGTCCCGAGAACCGAGATCCTGGAGTGGACTCCGGAGAAGTGAAGAGGACGAGGACGATGAGTATGACGATGACGACGCTGAGGAGGAGGAGAATGGAAGTACCCCAGTGAACCTTAAAGGGAAAGGGATTTTGGTAGAGGAGGAAAATGATAGCGATGATGAAGACGATAACGATGATTGGAGTGATGGCGGGACTGAATCAGAGGGTAGGTGATTTATCTGATGATCCATTGGCGGAGGTTGATTTGGATAATATCTTACCTTCGAGGACGCGGCGGCGAATGGTGCGTCCTGGCGTTCATATTGCGAAAGAAGTCGGAAATAAGGTGAAGCCGATGGTAACGATGGCAGTGACTCTTAATTTTGGTGAAGATTATATTTTCAGCGATTTTTTGGGTTTAGTTTGGAGGTTAGTGGAATTTAGTCGTTAGTGCTAGTTAATACTACGAGTTGATATATGCCTACTCTGTTGTAACTCAATTTTAACTCTCCTAGAATTTCTACGTTCAAAAACTCGGACCTTTTCTTTTTCATCGTTTATTTTCTGTTACAGTTGTTTCTGAAATGCCTTAAAGATGAGTTAAGATTGAACAAGGGGAGGAATATGCTAAATTGAGTCAAAATTATGTTTCAAATAAATGGGCATTTGCTATTAAGCCAATTTGTGAAATTTGATCAAAATGAGAGCTTTGTTGGCTGGCTATGTAAAGAACATCATGATGAAAAATGTTTCATAGCTCCTCTGCAGTTGACTGTAAGTACACATGAATAAAGTCCCTTTAGGCTTTAAGTATTTAACTCAAGAAAGCATCCTTCAAATACTAGGAAGAATGTGAACAATTTCTGTAAAACAAGTGTGGTATTCATTGTGGGGAGAATTACATTTATTTGTTAATCTTACCTTGTATTCTTAAGTATGTTTTGCATGCTGCTAATTATGTTGTTAAGAATCCATGGGAATTTTGATAATTTGAATTTTTATGTTTCTAACTAATGAATGAAAGCCTGCAAAGTGAAAACATAATTCTTGCTAGGAATCATCATGTTAAACCGTCATCTGTCAAGCATGTAAAGCTTATTCTTGTTTTTGATTTGAGTCGTTGGACTCTGTCCTCTTCAGGCAAAGTTGATCGATCAGATCAAGTTAACTTGTCTCCATATCAGGCCTTGTGGATGCCTTAGTATGAGCATACTGACCTTCAAGTTGCTTCTATATTTGTGATTTGTTAGTGATAAAAACTGTCTTAGCTATAATAGTGCAGAACCGCATCATTTGTACTCATAATAACTCTACGAATTGAATTGTGAATATTGTCATGTAAGTATCAGAAGAGAAGCTGTTTTGCTTGAGAGTTGAAGAATCAATTTTGCTGCGTAGAACCACTCTGCGTAACATTGCCATGTTTTCGTTTTCCGTCCTCAACTGGCTTACTGAGCGACTACAAACGATGTTTTTCTTGTTTCATACAACTCAAGGGTTGATTATTAGCCTTGGCCGATCCTTTGGGCAAGTGAACTCACTTGCTCTGACAATCTTGTCATTCA